ATAATAAATAATAAGTAAATTTGAGATTTTTTAAATAATAATTAAAACAAAAAAATTAACAAGTTCAATTTCATCTGTCCAATTTAAATAAGTGATTATAAATATTAGAACCGTTCAAAAAATATAAGCAGCCTTGGCACGATTTAAAAAAATTGACAAAGAGATTGTTAATTGAAAATTATTTGATTTTTACTTTTYCAAGRATAGTAAAATGTTTAGACGTTTTAAGGCATTATAATATAGGCAATCTTTTCACTTTATGTGAGTAACTGTTCAGTATTAATTGCGTCTATGAAGCCGGAAATATTATTCATTCGGTTATATGTGCGAGCGGTCGCATGGAATTTGATAAAAGGAACAACACCAATTGAAAGACATTGGTTAACGTTTCAGTTCCCCCGAAATTTATTTAGGTGGTTTTGATTTTTTACCTACGATGACTGGTGACTGGTGAGTGTAAAAAAGATTTCGATTTCTCAATAGGGGCGTGAGGARCATCAATCTCATACATTTTTAATTTTTGAGTTTTTATTCATATCATTTTCGTTAGAAAATATTTTTATTGAGGTAATTAAATTTTCAGACAATATTTGTATTAACCTTCAACAGAAAAATATACACTTTAAACTGTAGTCGAGTTAGATGCACAAGTATAAATACAGCAAAAAAAGATATACCTAACGTACTGTTAGAATTTACAATTACTCGGGATCGCCGAGTTCTGTGACTCTTCAAGCCAGCTATTCTGAGACGTTACTTCCATCGTAAAATGCGCCAAGTGTTCATTTAAATACCTTTAGTAATAATATTAAAATTCGCTCGGAAAACTAATATTGTACCACTACGTAGTGCGATTACATGCGTGAATACATTGTGTTCGTATAGGATTCACTGCGACCTATAGGCCACAAAAGGTTACATCTATATTATGATATCGTACGCACGTGGTAGGCATATACATATGTATAGGAGGTATTTACTTTGTTGATTTAGACTGAAACGAATGTCTTGTAAACGGTTTACGAAACGCGATAGAGTGGGATCGGATGGGGGGGGGGAAATAATGCAAATAATTCAAAAAATAGTGGCATTTGGAAATTGCTTGCTAGACAATCGGCGCGCAATTAGACATGACCCAGTAAACACGAATCTTTGGACTGTGATTATAGTCACATAGCGCCCCGTTAACTGGGGCAATTTTTTCCGACAATTTTGCAAACGACTCGACGTTGCCCGCRTTAACATAATCTGCAATGCAACACGGCCATGTTTAGCAAACGGTCTTAGGCACAGGCACGTATTACGTGTTAGGGTCACGCACGGCACACGTGTTTTCCCGTTTTAACGTGCCGTGTCCGTTTAGACAATGCCCGCCGACGATTAATCGACATTTAAATATGCCGTGTACCTACTCGGCGTGTACAAGTGTAAAACAATATCATATGATCATTATTATTATTCTCCGGAAATTGGACACACGGGATATACGTGTTGACTGTATATTTTATATTATTTTATTATAATATCGTCTATGATTGTCACTCGTCGATTGATGATCGTATAATCACGCTATGGGAGATATGCACTGCGCTCCGTCTCCCAACAAAATTATTGACATATCGCGTAGTTCGAGAGTTGTATATTATAAGAGATAATAGAGATATGCATGGGACATTTTTTTTCAGCCCGATCCTGCCTGAAACTTAAATATAACATTTTTTATCCGACGTGGCCTGTAATTTTTTTTCAAGTCCAGC